TATATATATATATATATATATATATATATATATATATATATATATATATATATATATATATATTATAAGCACACTTGCAAAATGATGAGGTAAAAATATTATTAATTGTATTATTATTGACACATATTTTTATTTGTATTTGCAATACTAGTTTTAATAATTATCATTACTCACATTATAAAATATTACTTAGATTAAAGGAAACAAGAAATTAATAAGAAAAAAAGTTTACTATTTTAAGATTAAAATTGCAAACTGGTACCACACTAAATCCCTTTTTACTGAAGTAATCGTTATCCTGTGGTTTCAATTTATACCAATTTTGGGATTTAGTATCTAATTTTCAGTGGCGAAGGTCATTCAAAAAACAAACAGACACCGATTGTCTTCTTTGGGAGTTTCATATTTATTGACATAACATAAAATATGGCGACTTCAATTTTGTGCAGTTAATGTCATTTGTTTCTAGTTATTTTTTTTAAAATAATAATAATTAATTTTTCTTATACGTAATTATTTCTCCCTCGCAATTATTTCAAATTACATAACGGTGGCAAACCAACGTGCATACATTTATTTTAGGTAAATACTTTTTCCGCAATGAAAGTAAAAATTCGTCACTTCTTGTTTTAAGATTGTTGTGGATTCCGAATGACAAACGCAGGAAATAAATATTTAGCAAATAAATGTATTGACGCAATAATACAATTTGTAATACGGTTAGTAGATCCAGAAATGCGGTTAGTAGCAATAATAATATATATACAGTCTGGGAAATTCAGTATCGAAGTAAGACTTTCTTCTGAGTTTACGTGCTCGTAACTGTGACTCCTACAAAGCGGTTACCTCCCACTCTTACTGTCTCACTCTATCAGTGTATCTCTCCCGGATATTCACTGGCAGCAGTACAAGTACACACTTGTCGAGTCCACTTGTATGAAAAAAGGGGTGGACCCCTTAACAAATATATTTGCCAAAAATCAGGAATTTGTCCGATTGAAAGACAATTTTCAGAACATTTGCAGAACTGAAAAGGTTATTTGGAGAAATATTTTTGCGGGGTACCTTTTACATTCCCTTTATGATATCATGTGCATACCTATTCATTCGGTTGGGGGTCTTAGTCGAAACTGTTTACAAAAAGAAATCCCTGAAATCTTCGCCCAGTATTTTGTCAAAATAATTCACTAAGACGCGAAACATAATTTTGATAATTGGTGCTAGCATAATTTAATAAATCACTTTATTTTCTTTCAGATTTGACAGAAAAAGAATCTACAACATGATATTTGTTTTTATTTGTGCAGTTTTGAAATTAATCCCGTTACTATTCGTCACAAGAGTTTATTTTATTAAATAAAATCTATTTGAAGATTTTAAAAAAAATGTAAAGTTTAATGTAATTTTCTAGTGTGAACATTTTTAAAAGAATTTTCTTTTCTTTTTTCTTTTAGCGAATGTTAGGTTAATTTTGAATATGAATGAACAAAACGGAAATAATTCTGATATCCCACGATGACTGACTAGTATTAAATATCAGAGGAGTATCAGAATAATAACTTAAATTCATATCTTCGGTTGAACAGCACGAAATTAAAATTATTCATTGCACTAAGTTTAATAAAACCGTATAAAATTAAAAAAAAAATATTCTTAAAGTATTGTTTATAAAAAGTTAATAAAAAAAATAGTTTTAAATATAAATAACAAATTCTTGATTAGCCAACTGCTGGAATTCCGTACTTCTTTAGGTTTTATTTTTAATTTTTCCGCGCTTTTTCGGAACTGTAGCAGAATGTATTTCTATATTGGCCTTTGACCTCACAGGCTACCTTGCGTAAATAAAATATTAGTTTCATTCTGTTTTATATAAAAGGTAAGTATTAATTTTAGAAAATACAGTTAGTTAATCGTTAAATTTACCAAGATGCTTCGAAATACAATATCTAGTACAAAGACAATCTCTTATACAAATACAATCCCTAGAATAAATACATCTCTAGTATAAATAACATCTCTAGTACAAATACAATCCCTAATACAAATATACCTTTTATATAAGTACAATCTCTAGTAAAAATATCAACTCTAATACAAATACATCTCTAATACAAATACATCTCTAGTATAAATACATCTCTAGTACAAATACATCTCTAGTATAAATACAATCTCTCCTATATAATAGCGCTTCAATGAGTAAAGAAAAAATCAAATGCTTTAAAAACTCGTAATAAGTTTATTTATATATGGAAGCTGATTTTTCTTTTAATTCGGATTAGTTTTCTTTTGAATGGAACCGAAATTTAAATTCAAATTCAAAGTAGGCATTTAAAATATTTCAATTCAGGAATCCCTCGATAATTGCGCATTCGATTAATGCGCTATCGATTAGTACGCTAATTTTTTATATAACAAAATTCGATTAGTGCATCCAAAATAATCGATTAATGGGCTAAAACATTCTTCAGTTTAAACATAGCAATTGAAAATTGATTTTTAAATAGATCTCGATTAATTAAAAATTTGCTAAAATATAAAATTGGAAAATGGATAACTATTTTGTTTGCCAAGTATTACGTTATCTAAATAATTACCGTATTGTTAAAAATACATAGTTACAAATAGATAAATTTTATAATAAATAATAAAAATTCATATTTGAATATTTCTCTTGAATTTTTTCATGTTTATTTTGAAGGACTTAGAAAAAACGTCTTAGAAGATTCAGAAATATGCATTTATTTAAAAATATCGAAATAAATATTTACTATAGAAAAGTGTATAAATAATAAACGTTGTAATAAATATGGTGGCAAAGATAAGGACAATAGTCCAAATAATGTAAATAGTGTACATAATACCTCATCTCAGAAATATAGACAGATACTGAAAGGCCGAAACGTTGTAATAAACATGGCGAGAAAGACGAAGACAATAGTCCGAATAATGTAAATAGTGGACATGATACCTCATCTCAGAAATATAGACAGATACTAATGATTATGATATGTTTAGTAAATTTGAAGGGAAATTTCTCTGTACCATTAACTGTATGAAAAACAGAAGAATACCAGGCAGCAAACCACTCTAAATATGTTTTTAATAAAATTATTTTATCTTCTTATATATACCTATAATTTAATTTAAAAGTTAATTGTGAATGAGACTATAATTCCAGGTACAAATTACATCATTTCCTATAAGTTATTATATCCGATTAATGCTTTTTCGATTAGTTCGTGTCTTTTAATGTACACATTAGCGGCATTAATCGAGGAATTCCTGTAATTGTCTTTCGGGGTTTTTAGAACGTCTATGGACATACCTAATGTAATTATTTACCATCAAGTCATTTAACACATATAGCCTCTTGACTATAGCCTATCAAATAATACGGGACAAAACGGAGACATGACAAACATTCGGGGTTTTTCTTTACGACAACACTTACAATATAGTGTCATTTATATTCTCTTTTTTTATTCTTTTTCACATACATAATACTTAGAATATACTAAGAAAGTGTTTGTTTATATACGCGGATTGATATAAGAATGTGTATCGAAAACAATTACTGAATTCTCTATTAGAAATACTATAGAAAGAGAAAATTTGTCGTAACTCAAGAATATATCTACTAATTTTTTCACTTCACTGGGTAATATTTCAAGATACAGTATACTCCTAAATTCGTTGAGTATTATATATCGTTTAACATGTATCGTGGGAACACGCATATTGATTCTAGCGTCTTGTGAGACGATTGTCACTCTTTCATTGATTGGCTGTCCATTAGCGCGTTGATGACTTTTTAGTCCTACCAGCGACTTGCACATCTTTGGGAAATTTTGGCACACATGACTACTGGCGTTCATTGAGCCAACCGGCACAGTGTTAGCATCACTGTGAACATTCATGTGACGCTTGAGACCATCAGCTGATCGGCAAATTCTAAAGCTGAGGGAGCATGAAAAGCTTCCATCCTGGGACTCAATGCACTGCATGGGAGAGACAAGTGTAGTTGCATTAATGTGATTTCGTGTGATTAATCAGGCATGCATCTGACAGCAGGGCCCGGTCACACACCTCACAGATCCACAAATCTCCATAATTGGCCGGCAGAAGTTCCTGTTTTTGCATGCTCTCTTGAGTTTTGCCTGCTCTCTTGAGCTTTGCCTGACTGATTCAAAAGTTCAGCACGCTTGAAAATCAGAGCCCTCCACTGGTCATGATTACGGACTCCCAATCATCAAAAGAAACACCAAAATACGCTAAGCTTTCTTTGACACTATCCAAATCGTTTTTTGGATTTTACTGGGGTCTCTTGCAAGAAAGATGCTCACCATGAAAAATCTGGAGTCGTCAAGCCGAACAAGAGGACAAGTGCAATGCATCTGGCACCTAACTACAGTGCTGACTGTTTTAGTTTTGATCAAGACACCTTTTGCGTCCGGAAAAGAAAGTATTTCTTTGAACACAAGAAAAATTAAATAAAATGCTTAATCGTAATACCTTGTCTGTCCTCTTTAATGAAACATGTATGAATAAAGGATTGCTGCCTAAATGCACTATATATATATATATATATATATATATATATATATATATATATCTTTGTATAATATCAATAACACTTGCATTAATTTCTGACTGCTGACAACCTCTTTTTTCCTCGTTACAATTTATTTTATAGAACAAGCATTAGAAATGCATTTACATGACAAATGTAATCGCCTCTTTGTGTAAGTAATGCCTGCATTAATTTCTGATCACTGAAAATCTTTTCTTACTGACTTTCAATGCATATATACGGTAAAGCCATTAGCTATTCATTTTAATGATCGAATAACTTTTATTCCCTTTTTGAATACCTAACATGCAATCGAATGGCAAATCATGTTTAAAAAGTTAAAAATTTAGCCAAAAACATTATAATATTCACTGATTAATCACGGGATCTTTTTTTTTTTTTATAGCAGAATCGTACATTTCGTTTCTTAATTTAGAAAATGATTATTTTTTTGTACGGAAACTGAAAAAAGTAATGCATTGAGGGAGAGAGAGAGAGAGAGAGAGAGAGAGAGAGAGAGAGAGAGAGAGAACTGAAGAACATGAATCTAAGAGACAGAAGACGATGATTGACGATGCATTTGCATTTTTGAAGATTGTAGAGTTTCACAGGCGAAAATGGCTTGATAAGTAACGATTAAAATATAACTTACGGCAACACTTTTCAAGAGCAAAATGATGGCGCCTAACTGCCAATCTAGCCCTACGCTACATGAAGTCAAGGTACCAAAAAAAAAAAAAAAGAAAAATGAAAGCTCATAAGAACAAATAAAATGAAAATAGTTATCGAAATAATGCACTTGAATTAAATATTTTGGGACGAACTACACAAAATTATTATACCATTTTATTTTATAAATAAGTGAAGATTATGTAGCGCTTTGCTTTTATCCGTTGTCCTGGTGCATCTTGTGGATTTGAAAATAATTTGTTGCGTTTTCGTAGATGCCCCTTTAAGCATCTTGAAGTTGGAAAAAGCCCAGTGAACGATCCGATATACAAACTTATTCGTACACCCATCAATTTTCAATATTTTTTTGATGTCAGGTTTTTTATATGTTAATAAGCCTAAACAGGAATATAAAACCCAATTTTCAGAACAATAGCTTACTTACAAGAGAGTTGACAGGCGAATTATGTAAAATAGGAAAAGACAAAATAATTCGAACATTATGAAAAATAGGAAAAATTAAACAATTTTCTCAATATTAATAATCAATAGCATGGCCTCTCAGATTTTTAAGTTACTGCAATCATTTTCTAAAATTTTTAATGAAATTTGAACACGTCTTTTCTTGAATCTTTATTCCATTCTTCAATAGTTACACGTTAATTTTCCTGAAGTTTTTTTGGTTACCGACGATTTATTCGATCTTTCATTTCTTGCCATAGATTTTAAATAGGATTCAAGTCAGGTTTCATTGAAAGCCAGAATTACAATCTTTTTCTGAAGCTACGCAGTCACTAATTTAGTCATATATTTGAGCGTAATGTTTCCTGGCATGTCACTGTAGTTTAATATTAGCTTGTTTTTGCACTAAAATCATTACTAAAATTTCTGTTGAAACAAAGATGAAGGTTGTGAGTTAGAAGAGGAAAATGGCTCAAGGAGAGACTGCCGAGCGACTGAGAACTTCCAGGAATAGTGTTCTAACCAACCAAAAGACGTTTGCTAAACAGATATCTACACGAGTTAGACAAGAGAGATGAAAGATATATTGTGGGAGTCTAGGTAGACAAACCGATTTAACAGGGTGACAAGTGAAGAGCGAACGCAGAATTAACAGTGAGTTTCTAGTTGATACTGCAGGTAGAGTATGACGAAAATAAAGGTCAAAAAATAGATAATTAAGCAAAAACATCGGAATAAAAGATTGGAATAGGCAAAGTGACCAGCAACCACGTGATGCAGCAAAGTGACAAAAAATCATTTTTATAGAGTTACATTCTAATTCAAGAGAATATGTAAGAAACATAGTGGAGGGAAATAAACAATACAACACACCACGAAGATTTGTATGTGGACCGGTAATGTTGTGAGATTGCATTAAGTGTGACGGTAGAAGAAAATTGGTAAGCGCTGATCGAAACCTATACGGTGTATTCTTCTACCAGACTAGGATGATGGATAATTTTCTTCGGGATAACGGTGCTACTTGCCCCACATCATATGTAACAATTTTTTTCTTTGGCTGAAGGTTTTCAACTTTTGGAAGACCGACCAGTACAAAGTCCCGAGGAACAATAGAACAATTCTTTGGAGACCGAAGAAACTAGTTCTCAGAAAATAAACCAGTAAATCTCTAAGAGCTTTTGGATTACTACAAAGAACAATAGGAAAATTCCAAATAAGAAAACTAATGCCACGTAGAATTGAGACAAATATTGGTGTTAAACGGAGCCTCCATATTTTGAAGCTATGTACTTTCATCTCTATATATAAAACATAAGATGTCTGTGTGTCTGTCTGTCGGCATGATACCTTTTCACTCGAGATCGATCCAACCTATTTTGCCCAAACTTGTAAATGTAAGAGATAGGTTCTTAGCGTGAAAAATCGATAAAATTTAAAAATCAATAATCGATAAAGCCAATCAAGAATCGATAAATTCAACTTTTCCACCGATTTCGTTCAAACCCGGTATGTAGATTACTTACATCATGACGAACTCAACGATACCTCATTTTTTATCTTTACGTCACTGCATTTAGCGAGAATCGCGAGAAATGAAAGATCGATTTCAACACAAATTTTAACATATAAACTCACTCAATTCAAATACAAACGTCACTCATTTGTTGCCAACAATATGTTGATTGTTTAAAAATCATTTAACTTAATAATTGTGTCCGTTTGTCAGTATAGGTACCGAGTATATCGGAAAACTCTTTGACAAAAATCATGAACATAGTATGTGTGTAGAAAGTATAGAAGAGTGGTTTTTCAAGACAGGCTTCATTTCACATATTATTCTACTTAGTAGGTCTCGATTAGTCTGGCATATATAGTTAGTTATGACGTTCCAAATTTTGTTTGTCGGTTTTATCACTGCGTAAATATCGACGACAGTTTTCACGCCAATTTCTTTAAGTCGCACTATCTCTATGTCTTACTGAAAGTAATATCACTTTTCTTTTCTTGTAGAATTAAATAGCACAATGCATATTGTCTGTATTTGCTACTTTTATTGTCCCCAATAGAAGAATTATTTCGATTATTTGTCAATGACAAACGACAGTGCAATAAGTGAGCGAAAACTGCGACAATCCTAGCATTTGCAGAGTCACGTCTATCCTCAGGGAACATTCTTAATGAAACATTTTGGAAGGGGAAATTCCTTTTTTTTACGAGGGAATCATACTTTCTTGCTAATTGTTGATCCCAGCTTACAGCACCTTTTATTTCCCCTTCAGTCACCCATATTGGTACTGGCAAGGCTCGACGTTGCTTAGCTACTGTGACCGTACCGTGATATCACCGGAAATATAACGGACGTAAAGCTGTAATAATAACCGCACAGATGAAGGCATTTGTTCGACTCTTAATAATTTAAATAAGAGTAAAAACTTTTGACCATATATGGAATAGTGAAAATATTTAATTTAATTCGGAAGGACGCACTAGGTGATAGGATGAGATAGATAGCGAAAATGCAAATATTGTTTGTAAAATATATAGAATATTATCTGAATGCAGTACAGAAGATCATATCCATGAAAAATGGAATGCGCTTTGCCGTAACATTGGGTAGAAATGAAAAAAGATAAAAGCAAGGAACAGTTAAGAAAAGTTCGTCATTGATCTAAGAAATATGTGGAATAAAACTAGTGTGGTTTCTTGGTTTCGAAGATAAAAAGAAGCCAAATATAGAATGGAAATGCGAATTTTATCTGGAATAGAAAAAGAACCGAGATAGATATTAGAAAGAAGTTTGGAACATGTCAAAGAAGACAAAAGTTTTTAGCAGGCAGAAAAGGAAGGAACGATAACAGAGGAATAAAGAATTCTTACGGCTTGGAGTTCGAAGGAAACGGATACAGAATTATGGTGAACATGAGGGGTGCATATAAAGAAAGAGACAAAGATAGTAACGAGAAAAGAAGGACGGAAAGAAGGCAGGAAAGAAGGAAGGAAGGAAGGAAAATTAGGACGGAAGGAAGGAAGGAATGAAGGAAAAGAAGGAAGGAAGGAAGGAAGGAAGGAAAGAAAAGAAGGAAGGAAGGAAAGAAGGAAGGAAGGAAGATGTAAAATGGAGAAAGATGATGAATATAAACGAAAATAACAAATTGGAATATAGGAAGACAAATGAAGAAAGAAGGAAAGACAGACGGAAACCAGAAATACAGACAGAAAAAAGGATAAGGCTAAATGAAAGAAAGAAAGAAAAAAGAAAAACAGAAAGAACAACTGAAAATGCGTGAGGCTGAAAGAAAGAAAGACAAACAGAAAGAAATAACAATCGATAAAGGCTAATACTGAAAGAAAAATGAATGAAAGAAAAAAAATAGAAGGAAATACAAAAAAAGAACGAGCAACAGGAAAAAGGGTAAGGCTGAAAGAAAAAGAAGTTTGGAAAGAAAGAAAGAAAGAAAGAAAGAAAGAAAGAAAGAAAGAAAACGAATGAAAAGCAGAAAAAAGAACATAAAAAACGGTAAGGCTTAAAGAAGGCAGGAAGGAAGGAAGAAAGGAAGGAAGGAAGGAAAGAAAGAACGAAAGAAAGGAAAAAAAGAAAGAAAACAAGAAAAAATAGTAAGGCTAAAAGAAAGAAAGAAAGAAAGGAATAAAGAAAGCCTGAAAGTCAAAAATGACGAAAAAAAAAAAAAGGAGAACAGAAAAGGGGGAAAAAATCCGAAAAAGAAAGAAACCATGCATGAAAAGAAGAGAGAAAGAAAGAACTCGTAAGAAAAGTGAATGTGAACAGAAAAGAAGAAAATGAAAATAAAGAAAGAGAAATCGAATAAAAGCGGAAAGAAAGAAAAAAATATGTGCAAGTGAAAATGAAAACAAAAAAATGAGTGAAGAATAAAAAAAATGGAAGGAAAAAAAATGAATGAACGCAAAAGAAAGCGAAGAAGAAGAAGAAGAAATGATGATAAAAATAATGAAAAAGAAACTGAATCAAAGTCGACAGGAGGAATAATGAATGAGAAAATGAAAAATATCAAAATGAAGGAAATGAAAACTATAATCCTAAAAGCGAAGTAAATATGAAAAAACGGGAAAAGGAGATCAAAAAGAAAAATGAATGCTGATATGAAAGAGATTAAAATAAAGCTTGCAGAATGAAAAATGAAAGGGACCAAGGAAAATATAAAGTAAAAAAGCAAAACAAAAAAAAAAACGACGAAATTGAAGTAATGAAATATGTTCAAGAGTAACGAAACGAAATTTAAAATGAAAAATGAAAGAAATTGAGGAAAATGAATAAAAGAAAAGAACAAAAAACGAAATTAATGACAATAAATGTGAAGAAAAATGAAAAAAAGGAAGAAACGAATGAAATAAAAGAAACAAATTAAATAAAATTACGGGAATGAAATAAAAATCGAATGAATAAATGAAGGAGAATTTTAAAAAAATAACAAAAATTAAATTAACTTGTAAAGGAAGAAAAATGAAAATATATACATAAATAAACGAAAAGGATAAATAAAATGAAAATAAAAGAAAGATTTAAAAAATTGAAAAAATAATGAATAGATATATGAGACTGTTTTAACTGATTTGTATTTTTTACAGTTTATCAACCTTTTGCAGGTTATTTAAAAGAAGAAAATATTTTTAGAGTATAAGAATTTCTTAACAATAATTTAATGGTATAAGTTCTATTTGGCTTTCAGATTTTCAATTCCAAGTCGTTATTCATTACAATAACCACACATCTAAGATTACAGCATCTGGTATTCCTAAGCGGTCAACGATCTACGTACTGACCTGGCTCAACGTTGCTTAACTTAGGTGATACTGTGAGAACCACAGTTATATATGAGGGAAAAGATAGAGACTAAAAGAAAAAGAGGTAAAAACAAAAAGAAGAACAGTAAAAACAAAAAAAAACAAAAACAGCTGAAATTCTAATGAAAAAAAAATTAGAAAAATCTGCAATGGAAACAGGGAAATAATCCGAAGAGGAAGAAAGATATATTGCCTAAACAAAAGTCGGCTTTCCGGTGCCAAAATTGATCAGAAATAAATAAATATCCCGATAAAAAAAGCCGACTATTTGGGGACAAACCGGATTCCGATTCCCTGTAGGGAATGCAAATCCCACTTTTATTTTATAGATTCCTCTTTCGATTCAACGTTTTTTTTTATGCATATAAAATAGCCTTCCACCTGAAGCTAACTTCAAGACATCTCAGCCTTCATGCGACTGATCTAGCCCCAGTGATCTATTCGAAGCGTGTTTCTTCTTAAGGGCCTCACACAAAGCCTATTTTCCCGTCACTGTTCACTGCAAATAATATTTATGCAACAAATATAATAGTAGCATATTTTCTGTTAATAATTAAAACATGGATTACGTGGCAACCTACAAAATAACACGGCAAAAACCTCACCACATACAGAATGCATATCATCTCGGTTCGTTAGAGTGACTTGTCCGCTAGAAAACATGCTTTGACTCTAGTCTCCACCAAAGATTACGAATTTTCAAGACGCTCTACATTTCACGGGTTGACGACTGTGCTGGGGCACACGGATCAAGGCTTGCCACACATCACGTGTATTAAAAAGCATGACACCAAAATGTGTTCTCATCCATTGTTTGGTTTCTGAAAGTGGTTAACAGGCGCTGATGATTGTAAACGGGCGCATTAATTGCTCTTGGAGGAATTCAGTCACACAGGTATATTTTGTGCACACTTTCACGTCAGACGCTATTTTGCCAAATTGCTATCTGTGAAAAAGTAAAAATAAAAATTTGTGTTAATGGCTGTATGTTTCAAAAGCTTCTAAAATACAAACACTATCTATTGTAGCGTGCCTAAGTAAATAAATATGAGGTAATACCCTTTTTCTAGAATTTCTGGGATTATAAGTTGTTTATATACATACACAAAAGTCTACCAAGGAACGGATGAAAACTTGCATGAAACTGGGAAACTTGAAAGAAGATAAGTGAATTATTTTATTTATTACTAATAAAGCAAGAATGCTATAATTATTACTTTAAAATGAAAATAAATAAAAAAGAATGTATAAACATAAAAATGTCTTAAAATAATTGTCAGACTTTGTCTATTTCATAATGTGTGACGTCATTTGTTTACATTTGGAGCGGATATGAATGTCCGTGAGAGATTCATGGAAGATTGTAGTTTAAAAGCAGTAAAATCGACTTTGCTAACCGCGACGATCCTCTGTGGCCCAATCTGTTAATGTACGTCAGGTTATATGACGGTTCGGTATAGGATACAGGTTCGATTCCTGTCGGAGGACGAATATCATTCAGATTCATGTTATTAGTACTGTTTATTATAAAGAGAGGATTTACTTAAATACTTGTATCTATAAAAAGAATGTATAGACATAAAAATGTTTTAATATATATATATATATATATATATATATATATATATATATATATGTGTGTGTGTGTGTGTGTGTGTGTGTATGATAGAAATTTGGGGGGATTTGAATCATCATTTATAGTAATTCATCGAGTCTAGAAGAATCCTCAACAGAATGCAGATCAACACCTGACAGACGTTTCGTCCTATTTGAGAATCACCAGTAGTGCTCATCCCCTACCGGGAATCGAACCCAGACTTTTGACATAGGACCCAAGCGCCATACCACTGGCCTCGGTGACAAAGAATAATCTGACTCGACTCAATCTTGCGGCCGCAACTCATTATCTATCTATCTATCTACGCAACAAAAATCTCCTGAGCCGACCAAGCATAAAAATGAATACAATATAGGAACCAATAATAATGAGTGCCAGAGGAAAGCGATAACAACAACAAAAATTGCTATATGAGCTCTGGTAAAAAAATATGAAATGTTAACAGTAAATTTGCAATTTATAATACAGAAATTCATACACAGATATCACCAAGGAGAAATGCAGCAGGGGATAAAGGCGTTAGTTAGATCCAGGGAGAGGACCCAAAGAGTGTGAGTTCAATACCCGGTTAAGACAGTGGAGAACATAGAGAGAGGAATTAACAGAAGATAACTGATAACTGACATTCATTAAACACGTGGAACTAGAACAGTCTACTCCAGTGAGCGAAATAAAGGGTTCAGTTCGACATTCCAACCACCGAAACGTTGTAAATAAATATGGCGACAAAGATGTGGACAATATTCCGAATAATGTAAATAATATATATATATATATTAGAGTAAGAGAAAGATTCACAGTTCGTGGCATTTACTTTCATTAAGGTGCTCAATACAAAGTAGAGCAATATATTATTATTACATGTGGTAGAGGGTGGACCATTTTATACTAATAAATTATATCTATAAGACATTTTAATATTTTAAAAACAAACATATTTTAGGGTAAAAGATAGTGTTATGGGGTCCATCCCTTTTTCATAGAAGTGTGTGCCTGTACTGCTGCCAGTGCATACCCGGAAGTCAGAGTGAGTAACAGAGAGAGAGAGAGAGAGAGAGAGAGAGAGAGAGATACACTGATACAGTGTCAGAATGAGGTAACCGCTTTGTAGGAGTCACAGTTGCGGGCACGTAGACTCAGAAGGAAGTCCTACTTCGATACTGAATTTCCCAGACTATATATATATTATTATTGCTACTAACCACATTTCTGGATCTACTAACCGTATTGCCAATTGTATTATTGCGTCAATACATTTATTTGCCATATTTCATTCCTGCGTTTGTCATTCATTTGAGACCGGATTTCATCTCGGAATCCACAACAAATAGACTGTGTCGAGAATTTACAATTAATTCACTCCTTTCTTTTTTTTCTCAGCAAATGTGATTCTTTGTATTTTTTCATGTATACATAAGAAGCAAGGCTTATTTAATGATTTACAAGTTGTAGTTTCTTTTAATATTTTCCCTTTTACAGTAGGGGTTTTATTAACTTCTTTTAAGTTCTAAAATTATTTAGAAAGTTATGTCCCATTCCTGTACGCTTTATTAGTGAAAGGTAATATATGTTGATACCACCTAGTTTTAATGGGATTCTTTGTACTCCCGATATAAAATTTAACTTTTCGATTTTCTATAGTAGAATTAGTGTTTAAGTGAAAAAAAAAAAGGATAGTCTGCTTAACATCTGTTTTGTAATGACAACTCGTTAGAATTTTTACAATTACATTTTTTGGCATTATCTATGTTTGCTGATCTGGAATGGCAATTATTACTCGTGTTTTTGCATTGATTTAAATTTTTATTACTGTTTTTTTTTAATATTGTTTCCAGATTGTTGGTACAGCTATGGCTTAGTTTAAGTGTATTTCTATTAAAAATCTTAGTAAGTGAATTATTTCTGGGGAAGTGTTTCTCAATTAAATGGAGAAACTTCTGCTCTAACTTATAACTGACAATTTGGTTAAATGGGGTGGGTACGAAATGATTTTTTGTTTCTACTTTTATTCATTTTATCATACAAAGAGATTTGTCTAAAATATCACGTAAAAGAATCGCCGAAAACAATCACAGAAATGAAAACTTGTGAATCCAAAATTTCTGATTTGCGGGCCTGGATCTCGCCCGGGATGTTTTAATTTGCTCACGGGGTCGGCCTGATCTCAATATGATATGACATGTAGGGCTACGGCTTCCACAAGTAAATTATGAAAAAGTTTGACACATTGATATTCGCATTTATTACACACACATATATATATATATATATATATATATATATATATATATATATATATATTATTTAAAATTCAATTTTTTCATCCTTGGAAGTGAGGTCTGATGATCCAGGGAAAAAAAAAAGATAGGTGGAATAATAAATTATAACCTTATGGAATCTTAAAGTTGTCTGTTTTTTTTCTTTAAATTAAATTATTCATCATGATTCTTCATGATATATATATATATATATATATATATATATATATATATATATATATATATATATATATATATCATGAAGAAAAATGTCACCACTCACAAATAAAGCATGCAGTAGTTGAAAGGACGAATATTACAAGTAAATCAAGAAAACGTCGAGCAACGTCGAGCCAGATCAGAGCCTATACGGGTAACCGCTTGTGAATACCAGGTGCTGTAAGATTATCTTTCGTTGATTTTAGTAAAGTCTTAACGGCTTTTTTTTAAGACGGTGATCCACGTTGATTTGGGGCCGAAGGTTTTGAGCCACTAGAGATATTTTTTGATCTAGAAATCGTCGTTTTTTTAAAAAAATATAATCACTACTGCGGATGAGATCTAGATATATCCAAGAAAAAAACTTTCGGGTGAAAAGGTTTTGTTTTGTGTTGGTGTGATTGTCAAGAACTCATTACATTTCGTATCTGTCGATGTCACAGTCACCACTTCAACTAAATGAGAATGGAAAATAGCAAATCGTCCAAGACAGTTAAGAAATGAAAGAACATCCTATTTTTGGTACGCCGTTTCTGTTTAAATCCTAGGCCATCATGGGTTTCCATAGTGTCTTAGCAAGATCTGGCAACTGACCATCCCTCTTTGTCACAGTTTGGTCATCTGTCTTTCATACTATTTAGATTAATTTTTCGCTCGTTCTCTCTCCCCTACCTTTATTCTTTCCAATATCTGCTGTAAGTGTTAAATTTTTCTAAGTCGCGTTTCCTTACGACATATCCCATAAATTTCAAATCTCCCTTTTCTGAATTTAATTATGAGTTCCTTCTACTTCATTTCAGACCATAGTATTCTCAGTATCCATCAGTAGAACCAAATGTCTATTACTTCCTGTATCTTCTTTATCTCCAAGGTAATTGTCCAGTATTGACTGCCACGTATATGAAGACAGATATTATATTACAACGCATCATACGTCGTTGCCTCTAATCAAATGTGCCGATTTCGTAATATATTTTTGCCTTTGCAAGTTTTATTTATTCCCAGCTACCTTATATATCATGGTCTTTAAGGACGTGAGCGATTATTGTTATCCACCACCTTCCTTTGTTCACTCAAACTAATAAGTTGTCCAGAAAGTCCTGACTTATTTAGAAAACTGAAATAAAACAACCAATCTTGATCTCTGGTGGAATTACCACGTTGAAATGCATTTTGATCTTGTTCCAAACAGACACGCCATCATCGCTAAACAGTTTTGCTAGTAGCTAGACCAGGTGTAAGACAAACTAAAGGAGTACCCTGGTTTGGTCAATCGAGGTCGGGCTTTGTTTCAGTAAGATAATGTGAGCCCACATATTGCCAGGTTGTTAGTCAAGTTCAAACTGCTGTTGAAATTCTTCCACGTCCATCATTCAGTCCTGATGCCGCCCCGAGTTACTATGGTCTATCCCTCTCAATGGCATACTTCCTCCGTCACTAGCACTTTTGATAAGAATGAAGGAAGCTTGTTTACAGTTTTTTATTCAAAGCCAATGGACGCTAACAGAAGATCGTCGAGAATTATGAACTTTATTTTGAAGAAGAAATATTGGGGTTATTCCATATAATTTTGTCGTTTTCTTCCCCCTTCTTAAGTTAGGACATTCTGGCCAACCTAATGTATTAAGAATATCTTGTTACCCACATGACCTTTCCATGGTATTCTCAGCATTCATCAGCAGAACCATATCCCCATATATTCTATGTAAGAAGATTGCCCCATTTTTTTCCGTAGGAGAATTAAGTATATAATAGCTGTTGAACACTATTTTCTTCATTTCAAGGAGATTCTCTTATCTCTCAGATCTTCGTTTCTGAAATGCATTTTGCTGTTATTCCTATGTATCTACAAATTTCTGTGTCATGAATTCTGTCTATCTCATAAACATTTCTTGTTCAGTTTGCTAAAGTCCTGTCAAATTGTTTTTACACCTCCTTGTTTTATGCTCTGTTATATTTTACTGTATTTGCTGAATGCGTTTTCTATCAGCAGTTAAGCAGTTTGTTCCCAGTCAATATTCTCGTTTATATCCTAATATACTTCCGAAAAAAGTCAAGCTCAAGATCAAAAACAAATTTGTATCGAAATATATCAAAAGCTTTTGCATAATCTATAAAAAACCTCTGCCATACATTCATAAAAATATCGTAAGGTATATTTCTTGCACTTGTCACTCTGTCACTTGTTTCCTCAATATGTCGCGTTGGTACACTATTTACATTATTCGGACTAATGTCCTCATCTTTGTCGCCATATTTATTACAAAGTTTTGGCTGTTATACGCTCCTGCCTTCTTCAAGTGGTTGGGATGTCGAACTGAAGAAGGCCGGAGCGTACAACGGCCGAAACGTTGTAATAAATATGGCGACAAAGTGAGGATAATAGTCTGAATAATGTAAATAGTTTAAATAATACCTCATCTCAGAAATATAGACATATACTGAAAGGCCGAAACGTTGTAATAAATATGGCGACAAAGATGAGGACAATAGGCCGAATAATGTAAATAGTCTACATAATACCTCATCTCAGAAATATAGACAGATACTAAAAGGCCGAAACTTTTTATTAAATATGGCGACAAAATGAGGACAATCGTCTGAATAATGTAAATAGTGTACATAATGCCTCATTTCAGAAATATAGACAGATACTGAAAGGCCGAAACATTGTAATAAATATGGCAACAAAGATAAGGACAATAGTCAGAATAATGTAAATAGTTTACATAATACCCCCTCTCAGAAATATAGACAGATAATGTCGCGTTGGTGTTAACTTTTCCAAGACATCTTTTCTCATAATCTTTAAAATATCTTTTACAAACCTTTTCGTTGCGTACATATTCAGACTGTAACATTCTCAGTAGCTGACTTGTATAATCACACCCTGTTGCTTCCAGGGTCTTCATTCATAAAAATTCTTTGTACCTAATGAGATTTTCCTATTTCTTCATCATTTGCTTATTTTCTTGAAGGCATCTTTTACAATTATGATTCAGCTTTATATCTCTCTGTTTTATGTTACATCAATATCGCGATAAACAGATTTCTGGGCTTGTTTTATTTCTGAGGTTTCCAATTAGATATTCACACCTTTGGATGTCTCTTGCTGACGACTTTAAATTCTGTATTCTTATTGGCTTTTTCTGCTTCCTTTCTTAACTTGTTTTATGAGTCAGCCATATTTAGTCTCCTGTTATTTTATAGTTCATTTATCTCTCACTTTGACCATTGTCAGCATTGTGTCCTTTTTTTGTTCGCTCTGTACTAGGCATCCGTTTTGTCTAGCGACTCAATTCGTTCATATCACGAGTTCGATCCTTACGCCTTTTCAGGATGGTAACAACATGACTGTGAATTAAAAATAGGGGTTCGCCTATATCCCAAATTAAAGCGATGTTTATAAAGGCAAGGATAAAGACTGGAACATAGAAGTCTGAAATCCATGACTTGCAAGATTCACTTTACTAAATTTTCGACTGCTGAGGGAAAAACAAATCTACAATATATACAAATATACTTCGTTATCAACCATGAACATGGCACAACTCGACTCTAAATTTAGAAAGGCTTTTGCGTTGCTTTATGTCGTCTG